AGGGGACATTGTTCTTTTATAGTCGTTGGAAAAATCAGAAGATAGTAAAAATGTAGAAAATCCAGAGAAATAATAAGCAAAGACAAAAGAAGACAGGAAGGCAGATGGGAAAGTAGAGGAACAGAGAGGGAATAAAGGGAATAAGAAAACTCCTGAACCCAATATCCTCAGGGTACATGCCCCAATGCTGTTGCTGTCCTTATTTCTCTTCTCACAAAAGCATTAAATAAGTGATCTTTCCTTGAGCCACAGCTTTTGTATTCCCCTGATGTGGCGTCAAGGAAAATATATGGCAATGAAAGAAGACAGGCTTTGGAATTACATCATCCGTGATTCTCATTCCAGTATCAGTAAAATATCTGACCCCTAATAAAATAGAGGCTCCTTTACTTAAGAAATGTGTATTTGAGCTTGCTGTGGTGATAAGAATTCTTCTGAGATGTATATAGTACTCGATCATCATGCCACATCAGTAATATCTCACCAGAAGTCGCTCTTCTCAAATATCTACAGCTATGAGGAAAATGAATGCCAATGGTTGAAGAAAGTGTATTATCACTTAACACATATGCATAGCCTTTCAATGTGTATTTGGTAAAGAATCCAAATCTAATGAAAAATAAACAATAAAATGTCTCTAACATAATCACAAATACTCTTATTTTTTGTTTTTTTAAATATAATTATTGAACTCCTATTAACCATTCTTGATTTGCCAGTTATACTTTGTCAAGGAGTGAAGGTTGGCCCGAGTTATTTCTGTTTTGCCCAGTTTACTTACTGTGACTTGGTTGCTGTTGGAGTCTTTTACAAGGGTCATGTGATTAAAAGCTTGGTCCATGGAGTAGGGTTATTGAGATACTGAATACTCTTTAACAGCTGGAACTGTGTGTGTATGTGTGTGTGTGTGTGTGTGTGTGTGTGTGTGTAAGGGTTATGTCACTGGAAATGTGTGGTAGTTCCATGATTCCTTGACATCTTTCTTAAAGAGATGGCTATAAAAGAGTCAGTTCTGGCCTCGCCCACTCTTTATGTTTTTAGTATTGTATGCGGTAACTTGTTCTTGTGCATATACCTGCAGAAATGTTGTAATCTACCTCCAACACCAGAGCTTGAACCCTCTTCAATATGGAACCTCCCAAACTGTGAGACGACTGATCTTTTTTACTTATAAAGGTATTTTACTGCACGTATGTTGTTAGAGTGGGAAAAAAAATGCCTGTGTGCTGAAATACATTTAGGAAGCAAGGCTTCGGGGCCTTGGGTGGGGATCATAGTATCAACAGTAGGGAAGATGAAGGATAAAAGGATGTCAAATGCCTCATAGCCTCACTTATCTCATGGTGTGACTTTTAGACCCTGAAATATATTTATCTCATTAAAAACGCTGAAGGTCCTGTGCAAGATCATACACAGCCAAATTTACTGCCAGAGATGACATGCGAGCTCCTAAATCTCTAACTTTCTATGATGTGGTTCTTTTGCAAATTCTCTACAGCCTCTACAAGCAGAATAATCTCCTTAGGATTTCCTCTTATGTCACCTCCTATTGTTAATTCTTTCTGTGTCTGCAATGGGAGTCCACAGAATCGTCAAAAGGAGGTTTCTTTTCCTTTCAGTGAAGACATGATAGATAGCTATGGCCATACAGAAATAGTTCCCAAACTTGAGAGTAAATCTGAATCACCTTTGTTGATAATTAAACACATCAGTCATTTCCACCCATTACTGAACGTCAAGGAATTCTCTTTGTACCTCTGGGAAAGGTCTATAATATTCAATGGAATGACCTGCCTCACTTGGTAATTTTCTTCCTACAGAAACCATATATGGGTCTAAGAGGAAACAAACATATTTTGTATTGTGATTTTTCTGATTTGTTACAGAATTGATAATCATGTACCAATAGGTACATATGGGAAGAACATCAGGAAAACAGGTCAGCAAAACTGTTCTTAAAGTCCTTGCTAGTTGTCAAGCAAATTCTCATTCCGAACACAAGAGGGAGCTTTTACCCAAAAATGAAAAGTTTAATATAGGTTCTACTGTCTTTAACAGTGTGGCAAAATTTTCTTCCTTCCCTTTTTTTCCCTCCACATTTTTTTTTGGCTCCCTAACTATGACATTCTTTGGATGGCCTCCCAATATTTTGATAATTTTTTTTTCTTTTTTTTTCTTTTTGAGACAGGGTTTCTCCATAGCTTTTGGTTCCTGTCCTGGAACTAGCTCTTCTAGACCAGGCTGGCCTCGAACTCACAGAGATCCACCTGCCTCTGCCTCCCTAGTGCTGGGATTAAAGGCGTGCACCACCACCACCTGGTTTACATTTATTGTGTGTGTGTGTGTGTGTGTGTGTGCGCGCGTGTGTGTACATGGGCGAGTGTACATGTACATGTGTGTCAGGACAGCTTTGTGGGTCTTGGGGATTAAGCTCACATATTCAGGCCTGACAGCAGCTGGTCTTCCCTGCTAAGCCATCTTGTGAGCACTAGCTTTAATTTTAAACAGAAAACTGTTAGGTAAGTATAAAACCTGTGACTCAGCAAGTGTTAATGTGTGCATATAAAAGCACCTTGCATTTGAAGATAGGTACGACTAGAAAGAAACAAACTTTAAGGATTACAAATACAGTGCAATCAACATTTTCATTTTGTAAGTTAATATTGAGCTGTTACACGGTGTCAGTATTGGGTGTCCCTGATCTCCACCTGGTGGCACTGCTGAGCAGTACCTATTGGATGTCAGTTTGCTCACTCACTGGAATGTGGTGGCACCTAGAGATGGGCTGGGTTAGAGGACTCAGCTGAGGGAGGCTGTGCTTAACAGGTGTTTCCTGCCCCTGCCACTCCCTGGATGATTCTATCTTTTTTGTTTTTTAAAGATTTATTTATTATGTATACAGTGTTCTGCCTGCAAGTATGCCTGCAGGCCAGAAGAGGGCACCAGATCTTATTGCAGATGGCTGTGAGCCACCACGTGGTTGCTGGGAACTGAACTCAGGACCTCTGGAAGAGAACATAGTGCTTTTAACCCGAGCCATCTCTCCAGGCCTGATTCTTTCTATCTTGATGTCATCCTCTGTCTGGCCACAGTATGAAAATGAGCCATGGTCGTGGACTGCAATCTTAGAATCTTGGCTCCTCTGAACTGTTTCTCTTCAGTATTTGTCACGACAGTGTCTAGCCAAAGGGCCCCAGAAGACAATGACAGACACAAACACAGCTAGCTATTTACAGAAGGTAAAATGCAGGTGCACTGGAGCATGTCAACAGGCCCTGGGGTTTCACTCACTGCTGGGCCATTAGGCAACAAATGACTCGGGCAGGTCACTTGGCCTGTGGGGCTTAGTGATCTCATGGTTGTACAACGCATTGCTCATGTTCATGGGGAGCATAATTATGTGCACATAATAGTTGACACTGGAGCTGGCAGTGCTGCTTGCCTTTCATCACAGTACTGCAGGTGGCAAGGCAGGAGGATCTGTGAGCTTGAGGTCGGCCTGGTCTACAGAGCGAGTTCCAGGACAGCCGGGCTCCCGAGTGATAATGATCACAAATGATGGTGCTAGGCTACTCGCCACACACAATGTTTAAACAGTCTGTTTAGCGCAGTGTTCTCAACCTGTGGGTCATGACCTCCTTGGAAAACCTTTTATCTACAAAAATACTTACATTGTGATTCATAACAGAAGCAAAGCTATAGTTATGAAGTAGCAACAATAATACTCTTATGGTTGGGGGCCCTCACAACATGAGGAACTGCTGTGCTCTTAAGGGCCATAGTGCTTAAAGAAGACACTTTATAGCTTAGAAGAGTCTTAGGCCCAGTGGTAGCGGCGCACGCCTTTAATCCCAGCACTTGGGAGACAGAGGCTGGCAGATCTCTGTGAGTTCGAGGTCAGCCTGGTCTACAAACAAGAGCTAGTTCCAGGACTGGCTCCAAAGCAACACAGAGAAACCCTGTCTCGAAGCACCCCCCCCACCCCCCCGCCCCGTAAAGAAGAGTCTACTGCTGTACTTACAGCAGACTCAGGCTTCCTGGGTCTTCCACCTGCATCAAGAGGACATACTGGGACACTGGGTGGCACACTGAGACCATCTAGGTTTGTGTAGATACACTGTGATGTTGGCATAACACCGTGCTTAGAGGGAACCCAGTCATATGATACATGAATGTACAGGCACATACAAACGTGACTGTTGTTAGAATATACAGAGTCAGTTGCTGTAGTGATATTTTGTGTTTTAACAAATAAAGCTTGTCTGAAGATCAAAGTGCAGAGCTAAGCCACTAGAGGTCAGGCAGTGGTGGCACACACCTTTAATCCCAGAACTCGGGAGATAGAGGCAGAGGGTTATCCTGGGCTACATGAATTGATCCAGTCTTGAAGAGAAAGAGCTTACACAATGAGATCCTGGCACTAGGGATTCCACAGCACTAGGGAGGTAGAGACAGGGGTGATATGGGTAGGAAGAGAGAGGAATAGAAGGTGGGAGGAGACAGGAGCTCATTGCCATTTGAACAGCAGCCTGAGGCAGCAGTCTAAGCAGCCAAACTGAGTGGAGTCTGACGAAGCAGTTAGTCAGAGGATGCAGTCTGAGGACAGGATGGCCCTTTTGGTCTAAGGATTCGGTCGAGGTAAAAGGTCTGTCTAGCAGCTGCTGCTCTGCTTCTCTGACCTTTCGGTTTTCACCCCTCATATCTGACTCAGGTTTTTATTATCAACAATTAGAATTTGTGCTACAAGTTGCAAGACTAGAAATAGAGATAGTAGGGCTGGCAAGGTGCTTAGCACATAAAAGTGCTTGCCATGTAAACTCAACAATCTTAATTTTCATCTCCAGAATCCATAGTGGAAGGACTGACCTCTATATGTGTATGCATGCGAACAGGGGTGCACACACACACGCATGCATACAAGCACGCACACGCAAATAATAATTTAATTAAAATCTATAAATGGTCTCATTTGAAATGGAGCAATAATTAGCTGGCTTTACCTTCAGGATTTCACAGGGAGCTGCATTTGGTGGCACAGGCTTCCCACAGTGCTTTGAATACTCAGTGATCAAAGCTGATGCTTCATCTAAACTGGAACCAGAAAGAACAAGGTAGACGTGAGGAGACCCTTGGGGGTGATTCCTGCGGTGATGACTTCAACAATATATAGATGTCATATACGTGTCAAACTGTATTCTTCACATAAAGCTTATTACACAGCCCAGTTTTAACTCAAAAATTAACATTCATCCGTATACGACAATGGAATCATGACAATGGATTCTGAGGATAAACAAGCAGCTAGAGTCATGGAATGTGGAGGAGAATGGGCACCCCTGAGTGGCCAGCTGGAGGATGGAGCCAAGGCCAATTTCTCTGACTGCACTTTCCCTTCTAGAGTGTCAGTTGTATATCCCTTCTTTCTTTCCACACCCAATCCTGGCTCCAGCTCAAGCAGCTCCGTTTCTCAACTTGTAGGTGCAGAAAGCTAACTGACCAAGCTTAGCAAGAACTGCATGTTACATAAGACCAGCAGCGCGCCACGCAAGCATTGAGGAAGAAAGATGTAATTTAGGGTTCGGAGCAGGACTATAAGAAGCCTATTTTGAGGATCCAGACAGCTCTTTCAATTACTGGATGACAGATTCATGTTCCAAGGTTGCAAGACACGGGAAGATGAACTCCTGAGACTGCAGGAGTGCCCGGCTTACGACTGCAGCTTCAGGTTCAACCACACAGCTCGAGAATGGCTGCTTTTCTCCAGAATCAAGACACAGTTTAAGGAAATTCTACAGTAAATTGATGTCTCCCCATGTTAACTTACCTTGAATCATTTGCCAAATAGTTTACCAATTCGGTGATATTGTTGGTGTTTATCATATGCCGTTTCAACAATTGAAAATATTTTGTCTTTGCCAAAATTCCGAATTCCTTCTTATTTATGACATGATTCAGAATCAGACTTCTAATCTATGAAATGAAAGTTATCATTATATAAAAAATGTGTTTAATCCTAAGTCTTCACCAATGATGAATTCCCAACAGGGTTGAGATGTCAGTTTTTGCCATTAAAGCTCCAGGAGGGGCACACGGCTCAGTGCAGTGTATGAATAGAGAGCTACTGTTGGTACACACTTGGGCTTTTTTAAAAGTGAGGAAGAGAATCTAATTACAAGTATTAAAGGGTATGGTTTCTCTAGGGGGCACAGCAATAAACAAGACAGCCATGGCATCTTTTATGTAACAGTGGGGATTGAAGCCAGGCCCCCGAGTATGCTCGTGAGTGCTCTACCACCGAGTCACATGCCCAGCCAGGAACCTGACGAGTGGAGGAACAGTATTTTGGAGATAAGAATTACCTGCTATGCTCAGACACAGCAAATGAAACGAAACTGCTCTTACTTGATTTGAAAATCCTGCTAGTTGGCCTGTGTTCATATGTTCTTCTAACTGCTGTAAAATAATCTGAGCATCACATGACTCCAGGAAATTCTAGGGGAAAAAAATTAAAGCATAGTTAAAAAGGGTTATTATTACTAGTTGCTGTCAAGTCTGGAAAGTTTTAAAAATTTTTGTAGGATTCTTTAGTTTGGGTAACTTGGTAGAGTGTCTGCCCCAGACCTGGGCGAGCAGAGTGGAGCATGCCTATAGTCATGACACTCAGGTGGAGGAAGACCACCCCTGGCTACGCAGTAAACTGGAGGCCTGTCTGGGACACACAAGACCAGGGGAGAAGAAAGAAGCACAAAACTAGACCAGAGGAAGGAGAGTGACGTTCACTGGAGCTGTGTAACTCTCTTCAGGGTCAATTTTGTACACACTTTTACTTAAACTAAAAGTTCATCTGTCCTATTAAATACTGAAAAAAATGAGCTGGGTGGTGGTGGTGAACGTCTTTAATCCCAGCACTTGGGAGGCAGAGGCAGGTGGATCTCTGCGTTTGAGGCCAGCCTGGTCTACAGTTCTAGGACAGCCATAGAGAAACCCTGTGTTGAAAAAGAAAACAAAACAGTTGAAAAAAATAAGATGCATGTGTCACACCTGGCCGAGGATAGTCTCACTGAGATTTTCTTGCTTCACTTTGCGCTGCCAAGAAAATCAATCTCCCCATACAACAGAACAATGCCTAAACGCCTTTTAAGATGCCCTGTGGCTGCACGTCAGTCAGTCTTGCTACGATCCATCAGTTGCTTCACCCACACTGAGCATGCATGCTTTATAGGTCTGGTGAATGGAAAGGCACTCTTCCGAGGGACAGGCAATACGTCCTGGCAACCCAAGAGGGACAACATACAAGATACCTTAATCTGCTGATGTCTTTTCTCAGAGTGGGGCATGAGCATCAGACAAGTCAGTGCAAAAGCAGGAAGCTCTAGCTGGACATACTGCTTGGCGACTCCCATCATGTCCAGGTCATCCGAAACTGGGCATCTTCGAGGAGAGGCAGTAATTAGTGACTTGACAGATTACTACACCACATTAGCCTTTCTCTTTCTGCTGACCTTCCCGTTCACTGTCCATTACTTTAAATGCCTAAGTGCTGCTACACAGTACATTTTTACTCGTTAGGAATGAGTCTTTGAGAGCAATCCTAGAGGCAGGAGGATCAGGCCAGCCTGGTCTACAGAGCGAGTTCCAGGATAGCCAGGTCTACATAGAGAAACTCTGTCTGGGGTGGTGGTAGGGCAACAAAAACAAACAAGCAAAACTCTTAGAAGCCCTGGATCCACGTGCCAACACTGCAGAACTGAGCAAGCAAAGGCACTGTAAACCTGCAGCACTAATCTCAGAGTGCTGCGACCATCAGCTTTGGAGAAAACTTTCCAGCACACGTGGAAAGCAGGTGGTGCACACCTTTAATCCCCCTGTGGTAAAGATGTTGACTGGAAAGGAACTTTCATGAGAGAACACACATCTACTTACTCTAGAATGGCGATGAGACTCTCATAGCAATCTGATAACTGACTGGGTCTCAAAGGACAGGAGGCTGAAGAAGAAAGGGTAATAAACACATAGGCACTCAAACATCAATGCCACAGTCAGCCAGGCATGGTGCGGGAGGCTGAGATAGCAATGCTGTTTAAAGCTAGCCTGGGCTATAGTGCGAAGCCCTGTCTTACCCCAAAACAACCCCAAAATGCTACTGTGGGTGTTGAGAGGCCAGAAGCTTACCTGAGAGCAGAGGGATCTGGATCACACGCTGCCAGGCCTTGCTGAAGTAGGGGACCTGTGGAAATATGGGCACTGAGGAATTCTATCAAGGTTTCTATCATGTACGCTAGGACTAAAACCATATGTCCATATTGAGCATCCCTGTCATGGTTCCTACATGATACTGTATTACAGTTACTTATATAGTGCTACACATTATGAGTGATGTAGAAATTACTTAAAATATACACTGGTGAGACAGCTCAATGGACAAAGGTGACTGCTGCCAAGCTAGATGACTGGAGTTTGATGGGACCCATATGGTAGAAGGTGAGAACTGACTCCCACAGGCTGTCATCTGACTGCCACTCACAAACACGCACACCCACAAACACGCATCCACCCAAAATAACTAAGTAAAATGTAATAAGAATAAAAAAGTAAATTTATAGAAGGAAGTGAGTATGTTACATGCAAATAGTATGCTTTTTCATATATGGGATTCAGCCAAAGATTATGGAATCTGCAGGGTGGTGCTGTCCTAGAACTAACCCTCACAGAGAGTAAGGGCCTACTATATTTGCATATATTTGGCAGTAAAAGAAATGAAGAATGGAAAAATGCTATAATGTGGTGTTTAGCTATAGGAGAGAAGCCAGACACGGAAGGTCACATATTGATGTGAAATGTCTAAAACAAATAAATCCATACAAAGACTAGGAGTCCCGAGGGGATGGAAGAAGGGAAGGATGGCTATCGGATATGGGGCTCTTTTTTCTTTTTCTTTTTTTTGGGCAGTAACTAGGGACTGAATCTAGGACCTCATGCATGCTTCCCTGAGCTACAGTCCCAGCTCTGAGGTTTCTTTTTGAAGTGAGTCAAACATTTTAGTATTAGCTCATAGTGGTGGTCAGCCATCGAATGACACACTTTTGAAAAAGGGGATTTTCCCTTCATAAATAAAGATAGATGAACAATCTCCCGATCCTCCTGTGACATGGAAATAGCACCTTAAGGGCTCAGAGTCGCGGCTGCTCACGCAGAGGACACAAGTCCAGTTTCCAGCAGCCATGTCAGATGGCTCACAGCTTTACTCCAGCTCCAGGGGATCCAACCCCCTTCTCTCTCCTCTAGCACTTCACTCATGTGCACACAGAGATAATTAAAGAAAATAGCACTTTAAAACATGACTGCATTTATGTGTGTGCACACATACCAGTCTATTTGTTTATTTTTGTTTTTTTGAGACAGGGTTTCTCTGTAGCTTTTGTGTCTGTCCTGGAACTAGCTCTTGTAGACCAAGCTGGCCTGGCTCTGCCTTCCAGAGTGCTGGGATTAAAGGCGTGTGCCACCACCACCCGGCCACCAGTGTATTTGTGCAACAGGAAAGTACCTCTAAAAGGATTAGTAAAGGGGAATATTATTGTTTTTGAGACAGGGTTTCTCTGTGGAGCCTTGGCTGTCCTGGAACTACAAAGCCTGTAACTTGGCTTTGTAGACTAGGTTGGCCTTGAACTCACAGAGAGTCTCTGCCTCCTGAGTGCTGGGATTAAAGATGTGCATCATACACCTGGCAAAGGAGAATTTTAATGTTTTACTTAGTATATTTTCACAATTATAATAAACTAAGAATAAATTACCTTATTTTTAAAACCTTTAAAAAAATGTTACTTATTGCTGGGCAGTGGTGGCGCACGCCTTTAATCCCAGCACTCAGGAGGCAGAGGCAGGCGGATCTCTGTGAGTTCGAGACCAGCCTGGTCTACAAGAACTAGTTCCAGGACAGGCTCCAAAGCTACAGAGAAACCCTGTCTCGAAAAAAAAAAAAAAAAGTTACTTATTGTGAGCAAGTGATGCAGCATGCCGAGGACAACTGTGGGCGTTGTTTCTCTCATTCCACCATGTGGGGCCCAGGATTTGAACTCAAGCTGTCAGGCTTGATGGCCAGAGCCTATACCACTGAGCCGTCTCTCCAGCCCCTAAATGATCTTTTTTTATTCTTAATTTATTTTTATTTTATGTGCATTGGTATTTGCCTGCATGTAAGTCTGTGTGAGGGTTTCAGATCTTAGAATTACAGACAGTTGTGAGCTGCCAGGTGGGTTCTGGGAGCGGAACCTGGGTCCTCTAGAAGAGCAGACAGTGCTCTTCACCACCGAGCTGTCTCTCCGCTGATCTACTTCTGTACAATGATTCTGTAGGTGCACAGCTCATGAGATTGGAAAAGAACGGACGAAGGCTCAACTTTAAAGATCTGTAGGTCTCTGAGAGGGTGTTCCAGTGGATATAAAATAACAGCTCTATGACAAAGGCTGGAGCAGAACCAAATGGCTCACGAAGCCTGGGACTCAGAAGGCGAGATGGCAGCGGAGGATGCTGGGATGCCATCCTAGGCTTATCTGCTCTCTTCTTTACTACAAAGCTGACGGCTCAGCACAAGGTGCCCAGAAACTACGGAGCACAGAGATTAAACTCAGTGAAATGTCCCTCAAAGGAAAAGCACACACCTGCCATAATGAATGGACACTAGAAATGGAGGATAAAACTTTTCTCAGGTAAGGAATCTGTAAAAGAGAAGAAAATTTAAAAATTTTAAGATTACCAAAATGCTGAATTTCAACACCTCAACACAAAAGATTAGACATTAAAAAAAAAAATTGAGATAGGGCTTCACTCTACCGCCCAGCTGGCCTTCAATTCCTGGGCAACCACAACAGTGCTGGGACTGCAGTGTACCAGCACATCTGGCAACTGTGCACATTTCCCCCCTTTTCTCATGTGGCACAGAATGGCTCAAACCATGGCCCCACACCTCTGACTCCCGCGCCTTCCTGCCTGAGCGCTGGGTTTCTTACAACACTGCTATGGAGCCCACGCTTTCGCACTGCTGGCGAAGCAGTCCCGAGAAGCATTCTCAACTCCCCAAGGCCATTTTGAGCTTAACTTTCTCTACCAGTCGTTGAGTCTGGCAGGCTCAAGAACAAAGGCTTGCAGCATACATCAATACCCGGTGCTGTGCTTCAGGAAGCCCCGAGTCTTACTTACCATGTTGAAGCCGAGAAGCTTCTGCAAGAGTCCGTTCCAAAGTTGCAGGTCATAGATTTTGTATTCTAAACAAAGCTCTGCTACCAATCGTACTGCCTAAAAGCCAAAACACCACAAGAAAACAACAAAATTACACTGCTTTAAGATACCGGTAATGGAAGAGTACCTTTATGAAACACATGGGCATACCCCACAAATGTCTAATGCCTAATCTCAGCGAGGGACTCCATTTCCTTCCCTTTCCTGCTTCTAACCAAGAACAGCTGGCCTCATTCCTGTTCCAGTTCCAGCTGCAACAGTAAGGCGATTTGGCGGGAAAGAATGGCAGCCCTCCTACAGGGCGGACCTTGGAAGGAAGTACAAGTGCTCTTTCTTGCTTACAGGGTAACTAGCCCGTGTACTCTAAGGTTGGAAAGGGCCTTCCAAATTGCCTTATCGTTCCAAACTGCAGGCTGCAAATGCAGGCAAGGTCTAGGGCATTAGACCTCTGGGGGCAAAGGTAGGTGACTGAGCGACTCGCACTGCATAGTTAAGGAAAAGACTGCCATGCCTGGCCATGCGTGGCGACTCTACGTACCATAGGTTCGTGGCTGTGGTTCTTCCACAAGCCCTTAATCATTCCTTCTTTGGGACTGTTGCAAAATAGTTCATATGTGATGGGAATATTCAACGTCTCAAATGATGCCAGGAAAGTTATACATTTCAGATAGGATCTAGAAAACAGAGGTGTTTCTAAGTATTCTTATGGTTCACATTTATATCTAAAACCAAAGCTACCACAGGGCCACAGGAGGTAATCTTGTTCATTTAGGCTTCCAGATATCTTCACAGGGTAAAGTATAGATAGAAATCATCCAAGAGAACATCCAGTCTCTGGAGAAACGATGAAGACAAGAAGTTCTCATACGCCTGTTTCCCCTTTGCCAAAATATCAGGAATCAAGGTAATGGGATTGCATTTATAGAGCAACTGGGAAGCAGCCATTCCTTCAATCAAGGCTCAGAAGCTATCGGTCAGATATAAATAGAAAAAATAAAATCTGTTTGTTTGTTTCTTTCTTCTTTCCTTCCTTTCTTTTGTTTTCCAAGACAAAATTTCTCCATATTAGAGTCTTGGCTGTCCTGGATCTTGAATCTGTAGACCCAGCTGGCCTTGAATTCACAAAGATCCACCCGTCTCTGCCTCCTAGCCTGGGATTAAAGGTATGCACCACCACCTGGCTGCTTCTTTCTACTACAATAAATGAGTTCTACTTACTTCATTTCTTCAATGGGCTTTTTGAAGAGAGATTCTATCATTTCCTTGTCAGCCAAATAGAGGAGACACTGAAGAGCTCGTGTCTTATGGGCAAAGGTTAACTGGCGCATGCCCAGTGTCTGTAAAACCAAGAGGTTTGGGGAGTCAAGCTGTAATCTGCAGCCAAGGTCAGACAAAAGACTTCAACTTGGGTAATGAGAACATCCCTTCCCTTGGTTAGTTTTCCACTTTTCTTTTCTTTTTGGTTTTTCGAGACAGGGTTTCTCTGTAGCTTTGGAGTCTGTCCTGGAACTAGCTCTGTAGACCAGGCTGGCCTCGAACTCACAGAGATCCACCTGCCTCTGCCTCCCTAGTGCTGGGATTAAAGGCATGCGCCACCACCGCCCGGCATAGTTTTCCACTTTTCTTGAACTCAATTATCTCTGCTCTTAACTAGTGCAGAGAATAGAGTAGTTCAACATGACCCCTGGAGAGAACTCCTGAGACTCTTTCAGGAGGCAAAGGTCCAAAATAGTAAGAGGGCTCTTTGTTCTTTGCCTTTTAAAAATTGTTGATATTTGTACTGCTGGTACTAATGAAGTAGTGGCTACTTCTGCAGGCAGATCAAGGCAGTGACCCCCAGCTGCTTGGAGCCACTGCCAGCACTGGAAGTCAAAGAGGACTTCCCTTGAAATGATTTTCTGTTATTTTGTTTGTTCGTTTGTTTTTGTATTAAGAAACAGAATTTCTCCATAGCTGTCCTGGAACTAGCTCTGCGGGCCAGGCTGACCTCAAACTCTGAGATCTGCCCCTGCCTCCTGAGTGTTGGGATTAAAGGTGTGTACCACCACCACCCAGCCCTTGATGAAGCAATAACAATTTTCTTAATTCCTCAACTCTTATATGTATCATGTCGATGAATTCCCCTCTGAATGCACGTTAACATATTTAACGATGATGCATCCATTAGTAGTATTCTCTCGGCAAAGTGGACAGTTCACCTACAGACAGCGCGTCAGGAGGAAAGCAGCTCCCTGGGGAGCCTCAGCTAACTGGCTAATGGACACCAGCTGCACTTAAAGAATGACCAAAGGACAGACTCTTTTGCAAGAACTGCCATGAGCTGACTTCCAGCACCTCAGATTTTCCTCCTGTCCATCTGAGGACCATGTGCCCCGTGGTTCCTCACCCCTCCTCTCTCTGCTCTAGCTGCCTCGCAAGAGGAGCCCATACTTGCTATTTCAGCACAAAGGAGACTGTGTCCCCTTCAGGGAGACTGAAGTTTAGCATAGGGAGAGGCTGGTGGATGACCAGAGTCCGAGCAGGTCATCCGGGGCATGGAGACAAGTTTGTACAGTCCCCTGGAAGCAGGAATGCTGACTGGTCAGGGAGGTAGTAACCTGGACAACAGGAAAAAGTGCACCGTGAGCGCTACCAACAGGTGCATCATGGCCCGCAGAGCAGACACTGCACCCATGGCCCTAAGTGGAGTGTGATGTGTGCACTGATCCCTGCTCATCAAATAACACAGCCTGATAGGTATGTAGGGAGCACTATCTGGATTGTGTTTATGAAACCGTGTGTGAAAAAACACACAGGGAGAAAATGCCAAGCTAAGATGTGCACGTGTTCTGATTAAGTTTCTAGAGCTTACACTTGTAGCTGAGGTGGCAAACACAAACAGCATTCTTGAACTATAATCAATCGGACGAGACTGGAGGAGATAGACGACTCTGGGGAAAAAAGAAAGACATTTATAAACTTCGAGGTAGACTGCCAACACAACAGAGCTGCGCTTCTGCACAGTAAATGGCAACATCCCAGACACCAGACAGGACACGGGCCAACGCCAGTTTTATTTACTTCCAAAGGTGCTTCAACTTTTTTATTTTAAATTGTTGTTTATTTTGTGTGCCAGGTGCTTTCCCTGCATGTGTGTCTGTGCACCATGTGTGTGTGCCTGGTGCCTGCAGAGGCCGGAAGAGGGCATCAGATCCCCTGGCATTGGAGTTACAGACAGCTGTGAGCTGTCATGTGGGTGCTGGGAAGAAACTCAGGTCTACTAGGAGAGCAAGCAGTGTTCTTAATCAATAAGTCATGTCTCCAGTACGGATGTTTGGCTTTTTCTTGATAGCCTTCACAGCTGCAAGGATAATGTAGGGAACAAACGCTGGCTTGAAAGAACTCTGATGAATTCTCTGTTACATAGCCAGTCAGCCTTCCAGTGTTATTGATCAAACTGACACGAACTACAGCTTGTGGCACAGGGAGTGTCACAAACAGGAAATTGCTTCTCTAGTACACAGGAGGTCCTTGTAAGTGATACAAGAACTCTAGTACAGGGCTGGCAGGCCACTCCTAGGAAGGTCCAGAGGGATTAGACAGGCTGGAGGAGAGGGAGCTCTCAGGGGGAAAAGACAGAAGCTCTGGTCTCACAGGTGAGCTCTAGAGATTCCTTCTAGTACTGTTAGAATTGCTACTAGGGCTTTCCACATAACTGCTTCATTAGACAGGCCAGAGGCTGCATCCGAGTTGGACAAATGTACACCTACCCTTAAAAGACTAAGCAAAAAGCTACACGTAGCACAAACCTTTAATCCTAGCACTTGGGAAGCAGGTGGATCGCTCTTGAATTTGAGGCCAGCCTGGTCTACAGAGTGAGTTCCAGGACAGCCAGTGCCACACAGAGAAACCCTGTCTTTGGAGGGTGAGGTTACTAAGCAAGAGCCAGCCAGCCCAATACTGCATACTTGTTATCTCGGTACGTGGGAGGCTGAGGCAGGATTTCAAGCTTGTGATCAGTTTAACTGCCCACAGAGTTAGGCCCTGACTGAAAAAACAAGTTAGACCCTAATTTAAAAAAAAAAAAAAAACAACAAGTAAAAGATCTTAGTCTCAGACAAAGGAATCTGTGTCTATTTGAGCCATGCCATTTTGTAGAATGCAAGCAAGCATACTCGGGGCCCTGGGGCTAAGGCTCCAGCTGATAGAAGAGTTTTTCTTTTCTTTTCTTTCTTTCTTTCTTTCTTTTTTTTTTTTTTTTTTTTTTTTTTTTGGAGTGCTGGGATTAAAGGCCTGCGCCACCACCGCCCAGCTAGAAGAGTTTTTCTATGCTTAGAATAATCTCTGCTGAAGTCCTTGAACATTCACAGAGGGTTCAAAACCTCAATCTTGGCTATTGACTCCCTCCCCAGCCTGTGGAGACTTTGTCATAACAATGAATGATTCTTCTCTGAGACTCCAACACAGGTTACACGAAGATGTCTTTCCAAATCTAACTTGTAAATCTCTTTTCCTAATAAGACCCCTACTGGATGTCAAGGAGTAGGCCACAATGGAAGGAAAGCATACCTGTGCAGCGCTTCATCCTCTTCCAGGCCAAAAAACTCTGATGCTTTCTTTGAAAACAGAGAAGAATAGAAGTTAAAGGCTGCAGGTTATGGATACACAAACTTCATCTTAGCACAATATAGCTATCAGAATCCCACATATAACAAAACTATGTTTATAGGAATAGAGAGTTAAGAGCACACTTGTTGTTCTTGCAGAGGGCCCAGGTTCAATTCTCAGCACCCACATAGTGGCTGGCTCACAACTGTCTGTAACTCCAGTTCCAGGGGACCCACCACCCTCCTCTGACTTTAGCAGGCATCAGTCATGCCTGTGGTACACGGACATGCATACAAGCAAAACAGTCATACACATAAAACAATAAAATGATTTACAAACAAAAACAAAACTAAATTTATGTGGAGGAAATAACTGTGATTAATTGGTTAATGATGACTTTTGCTTAAATGAAGGCTCCATGCTCATTCATTCACACAATAAATATATTCTGAATACTTTTGCTTTTGTTTGTTTTGTTTTCGAGACAGGGTTTCTCTGTAGCTTTGGAGCCTATCCTGGAACTAGCTCTTGTAGACCAGGCTGTCCTCAAACTCACAGAGATCCGCCTGCCTCTGCCTCCCAAGTGCTGAGATTAAAGGCCTGTGCCACCACTGCCTGGCATATTCTGAGTACTTTTAAGGTCTAAATCCAATTCCAAGCACACACATGGCCTTAGGTTAACAAACATTTGGGTCCTAGTGGAGGTGACATTTGTTGGATAAATTTTAAAAGGAACAGAGGTAGGCATAGTAAATTATGCCTTTAATCCTAACACTGAGGAACACAGGCAGGTGAATCTCTGAGTTCAAGGAAAGACTCTGGTCTATATACCAAATTCAAGTTTCAGGCCCGACAGCCTATAAAACAAATAAAAAAGGATCATGATATTTGTATGATTTGTTTGTTTGTTTTGTTTTGAAACATAGTCTCACTATGTAGCCTAGGCTGGCTCTTCCCATGCTCAGTTTTCCAGTGCCCAGAGCCTCAGTCAGGCATGAGAGCTAGGGCTCTATCACTGAATTTAAATGAGTCATTTGCCAGATTAACATATATTCATCAGGACTCCCAAACCACTGTGCCAGGTTTGATGTGAGGCATGGTTTCTAGCTGCCAGAACCTTTCAGTTGACTAGTTGAGCTAACATGGAGCTTGAAACACAGAAATGGTGGTTGCAAACACAAGTTTACATGTTCCCCCTGAAGCATCTGCTGCTCTTAGCAGAATGAGGCTAGCGCTGGATCTCAGGCCTGCAGTGCTTACACAGTAGCATGGAGCACTGGGTTCAGTGCCCAGCACAGCACAGATGAGGTGTGGGAGCATACATCTCTAATCCCAGCACTTGGGAGGTACATAAATTCTAGGTCATCCTCAGCTACATGGTGAGCTAGAGTCCAGCCTGGGATACTCAGACCTAATGTAGCAGCACACTGTGGATCGGTATAGCACAAATAATAAAACCCAGACACAGAAACTGAGGTTCAACCTGAAAACCAGAGAACCAAAGCAGCCAAGCCACTAAAGAATTCTGACGTTTACCAAGGCTGGGCGACTGCAAACTAAGCAGACTCAGCCTCCCTCTCCTCCCATTTTATATTCCCGCTAGTGCTGAGATTAAGGGCTTGTGACTCTGTAGGACTGGGATTAAAGGTGTGAGACACCACCAGGATTTGTTTCTGCCCAAAATGGCCTTGAACTGTTCTGGATTAGTGTAGCTCAGGGTGGCCTTGAACTCACAAAGATCCCTCTGACTCCACCTCCCAAATCCTGGGATTAAAGGTACACCTGACACCTAGTGGCTTTAGCATTGTTTCTGGTCTTCAGGCAAGATTTATTCATAGGTAAAGGTGCTTGTTGTCAAGCCTGAAGATTTGAGTTCAATCCCCTGGATCCACGTGGTAGGAGAGAGCCAATTCCCTCAAGCAATTTGGATGTGATTAAAAATTAAATTAAAATAAAAGCCAAGGGCTGGGGACATATCTCAGTTTAACACTCTGTGGGTCCAGTATCCAGCACCAAAGTCAATCAATCAGCTCAGTAAAGTTAAAAAAAAAAAAAAAAGCCAAACAGTGGTGGCTCTCATCATTTAATTCCAGCACTCAGAGGCAGGCAGATCTCTGAGTTGGAGGCCAGCCTGGTCTAAAGAGCTAGTTCCAGGACACCTAGGACAGAGAAACCCTATCTCAAAAAACCAACCAACCAACCAACCAACCAACCAACCAACCAAACAAACAAACAAACAATAAAACAGAAGCTGCCCAACTACAGTTAGTCACAGCTATTTGGGAGGCTGCAGCAGAACTGCTTTTAGCTGGGAGTTGAAACTAGTTTGGGCAACAGATTAGCACCCCAACTGAAACGAACACACTAAATATAATACTTAATTTTGTATTAGTTATACCATTTTTTTACAAATACATTTCAAGAATACTATCTTCCTACATAAGCACAGAAATCATAGAATCAACTTATTAAGTTCTACCTGAAAACTCAGAGAAACTATTGAAAAAGCTGGATTGAGATTGTTTAATCCTTCCACAAATGTTAAAGCCAATTATACTATTTCTAAAAAAAACAAAACAAACAAACAAACAAAAAAAACCCAGCATGATGTGCCGCGATCTGCCGTAAAGAACTCATCATCTATCCAGTGTGACTAAAGCGCACAGCCTACGTTAGAGCACTGAAAAAACTCCAGCATTAGCCTGCGCTCTTCAGACTGTTAACGCGCCACCACAGTAAAACATGTCAAAACTCATCAACGGTGGCAAAGCTAACATGTGGGGGTGGGGAGATGAGGTAGGGGGAGAATTTTTTCTTTGTAGATAATTTCATTATGCTCTATTATCTCAAAATATTTCCCCCAATAGCTCCAAAGGGAAGAACAGGATGTATTAGAGAAAGGGACAACTTAGCCGAGATGTGCATCTAAATTAATATAACCTGTAAAGAGAGGACAGAACTGACTCCACAAAGTTGGCCTGACCTCCATGTGTGTGCTATAGCACATGCACGCACAAATAATTCACACACAACACACACACAAGTAAATTAATACTACCTATAAGGACCAAACAGATATGTTTTTTCCAATATCAACATCATTTATGCAGCATGATACTTAAAGAATTTGAGTTTGATGATTACTTATTTTGAGGCAAGGTCTTGCTACGTAGCGCTGGCTGGCTTGGAACTTGCTATGCAGAGCATGTGAGGCTCCAACTCAGCCTGACCCTGCCGCTGCCTCCTGAGTGTTGAGGTTAATGGCATGCACCACCACACCTAGCTAAAATTTGAATTCTATCTTAGGAAAATATTAGGTAAACCAAAATGGGAGGGCAGTTTAAAAGAACTAGCCAGCACCCTTCCACACTGCCAGTGTCAGATGGCAAATGGGCCAGCAGGGAAAGGGGGCTGCCACCAAGTGTCATGAGCTGAGTCTAGTTCTTCTCTCGGTAGGAGTGAGCTAACTCACACAGGTTGTCCTCTGACCTCTGTGAACACTGCACATGTGCCCCTCACCTCACATCAATACATACAATAGAAATATTATAAAAACAAACAAAATCACTTGGGAGGCAGAGACAGGCAGATTTCTGTGAGTTCGAGTACAGCCTGGTCTACAGAGTGAGTTCCAGGACAGATTCCATAGCTACTGACTGAGAAACCCTGTCTCGAAAAACAAAACAAAACCAAAAACCAAAGAAGAAAGAAAAAAGAAATCAAAAAAAAAAAAGAAAAAGAAAAGAAAAGAAAAGAAAGAAAGAAAGAAAGAAAGAAAGAAAGAAAGAAAGAAAGAAAAGAAGAAAATCCAAACAACCAAACAAAACTTGTCAACGCCATAAGAGACCAGGGAGTTGTGGAAAAGTTTTAGACTAACAACAGAGGAGATTAGTGCAGACTCTGGATTTTGAGCACAGCGGAGAACTAGATCTTGAACATTACTGATTAAACTGTAAGATAGAGAGTAAACTTGAGCATTATTTCAATATTTAATCCTCTAATTTTTACTTTTGAAACAGGCTCTTTAGTAGGTAGCCCTGGTTAGACTAACTTTGCTGTGCAGACAGGGCTGGCCTTACAGCTGCAATGATCTTTTCACCTGCTCCTCCCAAGTGCTGCTCCTCCCAAGTGCTGTGACTTTTCTGTTTTATTTTTTTTAAATTAAAGCTATAGTAGTTATGTAAATCCTTACTCTTAGGGAATATGCACTTAAATACTAAGGGGCGAAGGGACATGGCATATAATACACTGTCCAATGGAGGGAAATGGGTACAAAAGGGCTACAAGAGAGAAGCAGAGGATGAAGTAAATACAGAGAGATGTTAAACCAATGAGTCTGAGTAAACAGTATACAGGAATATTTCTGCACTGTTCTTAAACTTTCCTGTTGCATTTTAAATTATTCCAAAAATAAAAATCACAGCCGGGCGGTAGTGGGGCACGCCTTTAATTCCAGCACTTGGGAGGCAAAGGCAGGTGGATCTCTGTGAGTTCGAGACCAGCCTGGTCTACAAGAGCTAGTTCCAGGACAGGTTCCAAAACCACAGAGAAACCTTGTCTCGAAAAACCAAAAAAAAAAAAAAAAATCACATGAATCCAAAACAAAAAACAGGCGACCTTTTCCATCTAAGAATATGTGTGAAGTCGTGAGCATGGCTACAGAGTAAGGGAAAGGAAAACAAACTGACCCAGTGCTGACCTTTGAGGAGTCAGAGTCAGGTGTGGGGGCAGGCCTATAATCTCAGCACTTAGGAGCTGAGGTGTTAGAATAACAATGCTGCTAGGCCAGCCTGAGGTGTAAAGTGCGTGTCTTGAAGGGAGGGAGAGGGTCAGTCAGTCTGTGTCCTCTCTGGAGGCCTTATCCTGTGAACACAAACTCAGCTCCTGCGGAACCACATACTTGGGCTGTGAGCAGGCAGGCACTCATCTCTCCGGGCATTGTTGAGGGACACAACCATTTCTCCAACAACATGTCCCAAATTTTCTCCAAATTAATTTCATTGACTTCGGCTATTTCTTTAGCTGCTGCATGAATATCTAAGATCACCGAGATAAAAAAGTACAAAAGTGAAAACTCAGGCTTTTGCATGCAACAGCGGGGAATCAGAACAGCAGCTCTTTCCTGGAACAAAAGAATGAAGCTTTGTCCCACCAGGGTAATCTTTGCCAGATGAAGTGCGAAGTCTTTCACTGATGCTGGGATGTTCATAGAGGCTCACGATGAGGTGTGCTGGCTTTCCTACCACCCTCAGATATTCTGGAACATTCAACTTGTGGGCTATGAGCACGGCTTCAGTTCCCGAGCGCCGGAACTGGAGATAAAGCTTCTTCTGAAAGGCTTGGGCCTTCTCACATGTCTCATCCTTTAAAAAGTTCCAAAGGGAGAGGTGACACTCCATCTTTAGTGACCACGGGCCCTCCCTGCTCCAGCTGCACCCTCATGCATCCATCATTGGCAACTGTAGGATCTCTTCTCCTCTCTAGGTACTGGGGTAAGGGCTGGGGATAAGACAGTTGCTAAGCAACCATGGCTCAGACTCACCTGAGATGGGATGTTTTGTAGCCATCTTTCAGCCAAATACAGACAGAATTTCAAACTAGTCATCTTGAAGGGACCTGGAAGGACAAAGGTTTGTGAGCAAATCTAAATCCTCAAAGACAACACACGTGACCAAAGCAGCAAAAACTTTAAAATTATAAGTGAACATCCAATAAAAATAGAAGAGGGAAATGGAACTGCAGGATACAAGAGAAAATCAAAAGCTACAGATCCTTCCTCAGCTCCAGTCCATTCCCAGTTCCTTACTGAGTTTTCTATATAAAACCACCCACACTGCCTTTTCAAAGCTTTTCAAACAAGCTAGAAATGGGCCTGAGAGATGTTGTTTTTCATAGGACAAACTCTTCAAACACTGGCGAAGAACAGGACCTTCCTGTCAGTTCCTAGCTGATGAAGACTGGTAAATGAGAACAATGACAGGCCGAACACTTGCCTCGCACGTACAAAACCCTGGACAGATAGATCCCCGGCACTGCAAGAAAGGACAAACCAGAAACCCAGGCTATCAGGGAGCACCACAAAGCCTACAAGCGGGTCCTTTGCACCTTCTGGGACTTCCTGGGTGAGACTGATGGCGATGGCAACGGCCCACTCCGGGTTGACTATGGAGAGGAGGTAAGACTCGATGGTCTGCGTGAGCCTGTCTACTTCTTTGTTCATCAGGGCTGATGACTTGGCTTGTGCCAACTTCAGGAGCTTTGGTTTCAGTTTTTTTTCAAAAACATGTTTGGCGGTAGACATGTAGAGAGTATCTAGGGAGAACTTCAGGAGAGAGGAGAGTAAGGGTGAAGTGGCAAGCAGTGCAAGCCCCCTGGCCAGGCTCAGGGGGAGAGACAAGGTCCTCCGAGGCTCCACCCATTACCTTCATTAGCTTAGAAATCAAGAGCAGAGTTGGAAGTGACTCTTCACTGAGCTCTGAGGCTGGAAAGGGAAGGAGGACATGACACATGAGAAAAAAATTAGTTGGATATTTAGTAAAACTCCTAAGTAGTTAATGAACATACAGAGAATTTTCCAGAAGTTCTGTGCTGTGCCAAATAATATTAGGTGAAAAGGCAGTCTAGCCTGGGCAGCCGGCGGAAGAGTTATCACGTGCTCCAGCATGTACTGGTACTCGAGGTCCACTGGGGGGGAGATTCTTTTGTATGACTTCAAGTGTCTCAGAAGATTCAGAGCCTGTAAAATGAGCAAGGGATCTGTAAGGGTCACCCTGTCCTGTAACATCTGCACCACGTGCACTGCCAAGTCCTCGCAGGATTTTCTAGGCTCAGGGTCACTTGTCACCATGCCTGTCAACCTGACCTGACACATATACGTGGTGGCACACACACAATCAGAACAAAGTACATTTCTAATTTTCCTTGTATTATTGTCTCCTAAAGCACGTCACATAAACATTAGAGACATCATATTCAGAGGAACTGAGGGTACCATCTGGCTCAGAGAATAAGACTTGGGCAGTTTTGGACAAATTCTTCAAATAATTTGTGGCAGAAATCAAAAAACATTGAAGTTGAAAGTTTTCATTCTTAATTACTCAACTTATTTTTTGAGGTGGATCCTATTATGTTTCCCAAGCTAACTCTAAAAATCTTCCACCCATATAGTAGATAGAAAGTGACCAGTCAGGTAGAAAGTGCCTGTAATCCCAGTACTGGGGAGGTAGAGATGGAAGACCAGGAAATTCAAGTTCAAACTTGGCTACATAATGAGTTTGAAAATTGCAAGCCAGGAAGGTAATGGTGCACCTTTAATCCCAGCACTTTGGGGGCAGAGGCAGGTGGATCTCTGTGAGTCTGAGGCCATCTGGTCTATACAGTAAGTTCCAGGACTGTTAGGGCTACACAGAGAAACCTTGTCTTGAAAAAGTAAGGAAGGAAGGAAAATGGCTTGAGTTATATGAGATCTTGTTCCAAAAAATAACAAACCCACGGGCGGGGAAGATGTCTCAGCAGTACTTGCCGTGCAAGTCTGACAGCCTGAGTTTGATCCTCCAAACCCATGCAAGTTAAAGGGGAGCGGTGACTCCCTTTGACTCCCATGTGGTGTGCATGGTACTGGCACACCACAGTCACACACAGACATGACTGTGCGCACATGTGTGCATGTGTATACACACACACACACCACACTTAATGTTTTTTAAAAATGGAAAAAGCAAAAATCATTAATAAAAATAATAAATGAATTAAAGAAAACTAGGGGTTATTTTAGGGATAAATTGGTAGAGGACCAGGGTAAATATGATCAAAATACACTGTATTCATGTATGAAATCTTTTCTTTTCTTTTTCGTTTTCAAGATAGGGTTTCTCTGTATAACAACTCTGGCTGTCCTGGAACTTACTTTGTAGACCAGGCTGGCGTTGAACTCATAGAAATCCACCTGCCTCTGCCTCGTGAGTGCCGGGATTGAAGGTGTGTGTCACACCACTGCCCAGCTGAAATTCTTAAACAATTAAATATATTACATTTAAAATATAAAACTATTAAAAATTAAGTTCAGAATCTAAAGGGAGATCAAAGAACAACCCAGAAAGAGCCCAGATCATATTCTTAGTATTATAATAGTTATACTAAAATATCACCATAATAAACCAAAGCACAGAGATGAGTTTTCAATGTTTAAAATACTTCTGTACCTGATTAACGTTCACACTGGTTATCTTTTCGTTGGCTTGCTCTATAACTTTCAGTACAACTTCAATCATTTCATAATTATACGGGTCCAGCTGCGAAAAAGCAGAAATATGTCAAAACGTGAGAAGGCGCTGCCACGCTCACGCATGCTCTATTTGGTAATGTTCATTGGTACAAATAACAAACACAGGCTCAGCAGGCACCAAAGCCCCGGCTGCCCTTCACAGACCAGCTCTCTCTCACCTCTAAAACTACCTTTACTAGGCTAACACCCACAGCTAAGATGTCTCGAAACACACTCTAACAACCTGTACAAGGCAGTGATATTTTAGAGAAAACACAAAAAGGATAAACACATGGTCAACTTTGTTCTACATATGATAGAAATGAGGGAGGAAGGCTACCTCGGAAATGCCCTAACTACAGTGTGGGCCTTCGTGTCTGAGGCCCTAGAAGGACTCAGCCTTAACCACCCTCCTGACACAAGGGTTAACTGGGTGGTATCTGCGCAAGCTCATAAAAAGACAAGTATTCTCTTTGCTCCTCCTTTCTGCCCACACAGCATTTTCTAATTTTTAAATGCCAACTAAAAGTACATAATTATCAATGTGGGAAGATGGTTCATCCTACCTAGGAGCAAGTCTATAATTTCCGGCTGACTTACAAGACTGAAATTCATCTTACAGTCTGATAACCTCATTTCTCCTGTTACCTACCTTCCGACCTCCCAATCAAATGACCTCTTAACTTAAAAATACCAAATGGTAGAAAATTTCATTAAAACACACACACACACACACACAATAGGAAAACACACATTCACTCAATGTAACTGTTGATAATACTGAAATGTATGGTCTAAACTTCTATTCACAAAAGGCTGGTCAAATGCAGTGTCCTCTCCAGCAGTGGATACTACACAGGACAGGTAATGGGCCAGATACTTACTATGGAATGGCACTACACTAAGTTATTAACATTTACCCCACTCCAGAGAGCAGGACCCACAGGAAAATTTCCCTTTGGAATCTATACTTTCTTTCTCATATGATTCTTTGACAAAGAATGCTTGCTATTTAAAAAAATCTGAGTAGGGTCGCCAAATCTGACAATCTGAGTTCAACCCCTGGGACCCACATGGTAGAAACAGTTCCATGTAAGCTGTCCTCTGACCTCACACGTGCTGTGATGAGCATACCCCATAAGAGATGCAAAATAAATAAATGTAAGACGAAAACAAAACTGAGAAACCAAGCGTGGTGGCATACACTGTAATCCCGGCAATTGGGAAATAGAGGAAGGAGTTCAAAGTCACCCCTGGTGACAGCAAGTTCCAGGACAGTGTAGACTACCACCTGAGACCATCGCAAAAAGCCACATATTGAGGGAAAACAAGCCAAACAGCTCTGGTGGAAAATGCTACTTTATTTTGAGGGGAGAAAAGAAGGCAAGAAAGACAGGACAGGGATGTATCAAATAGATTGCTGTGTGAACATAAGGAACTTAAGGCTCGAGAGACCACTCTGTGGTTAGAAACCACTTTGTGCTGGTTTCCCAGCACTCATGCCAAGCAGCTTAAACCAGTTACAGTTGCCAGTTCCTGGTAAACTTATGTCTTCTGGGGCAACCCGTACCCACACACACAGAGGCAGGAAGGCAGACAGACAGACAGACAATTTAGCAGAATGTGGTGGCACACACCTATATAATCCCAGCACTTGAGATAGAACCAGAAGGCTCAAGAGTTTTTTCTTCTTTTTCTTCATTTTTTCCCAAGATAGGGTTTCTCTATGTAGCTTTGGTGCCTGTCCTGGAATTTACTCTGAAGACCAGGCTAGCCTCGAACTCACAGAGATCTGCCTGCCTCTGCCTCCCAAATGCTGGGATTAAAGGCATGCTTCCCCCCACACAACAGGCTCAATATTTAAGACCATCCTGAGTTACATACTGAGTCTAGCCTGGGCTATGTGGGACCCTATCTTAAAACAAAACAAAGACGAAAACTTGAGGAATCAACATATCCAGTTGATAGTATTGTAGTTAAGGATGAGAAGAGTGGTCGACCAGAGATACCTAATTCCTCACTCATTTACCTTATAAAAGATTAATTTTTTAAATAATAGCTTTTTTTTGGGGGGGGGGGAGGGGTTGAGACAGGATTTCTCTGTAGCTTTGGAGCCTGTCCTGGAACTCACAGAGATCCGCCTGCCTCTGCCTCCCAAGTGCTGGGATTAAAGGCATGCGCCACCATTGCCTGGCATAAAAGATTAATTAATTAATTAATTAATTAATTAATTAATTAATTAATTAATTAAGGATAAGGCGAGTGGGCGGCCAGAGGTGCCCACTTCCTCACTCACCCACCTTGTAAAGGATCTCACTAAGACTGATCACCAAATCCTTTGTGCTTGCCAGTAAGGGAATCATTTCAGTGGCTTTTGCCAGGAGTCTGGAATGCTGCTGCTTTGTGGCCTCCGGGCTGGCACCACCCTGGCTCTGGTTGTTAGTGTTGTGGAGCAGGGTTTCAATGAACAGCTGAAGGGCTGCATCCGAGTCCAGCTGAAAGGTGCTGAAAAGAGCGGTCAGTTACAGGCTGATCTCCAGGGTGTGCATGCTAAGCACAGGCTCCTATCACTCAGGGAGCCTCGTAGTCAGAAGGAGTACGCATCATCAAAGCTAAATACTGCCTTTTTTTTTTTTTAAAGGGGTCCTGGAAACTGCGGCTAGAATGGGGTTTGAGGTAATCTATATCACAATGTCTGGTTTAATTATTGTCTTTTCAAACCATGTAGTCTAGCTGGTAATGCCAGCCCTTGCTGTAGTTAACAGGATCAAGAGTTCAAGGTTACCCTTAGCCACACAGGGAGTTCTTGGCTAGTCTAGACCTATTTCACACGCATACAAAAATAAGTTACATAATTAAAAAAAAAAAAGACCTTGGCCAGTATAGACAAAGTAACAACTGAAACACCTCCTCAGACCCTTAGAATGAGACAGTGATCCTTTAGTTTGCCATGCACAGTAAATGAGATATGATGCAATGCTTTAAGAACCATCACAGTCAAGCAGGTCAGTGGTGGTGCTCACCTTTAACCTCAGCACTCGGGAGGCAGAGGCAGGCGGATCTCTGTGAGTTCGAGGCCAGCCTGGTCTACAGAATACAGCCAGGACAGGAACCAAAGCTACACAGAGAAACCCTGTCTTGAAAAACAAACAAACAAAAAGAACCATCACAGTTAAGTCCCCTGACATTCTAAATGCCAGCTGGGCCTGGTGCTAAGGTGGTTCACATCTGTAATCCCTTTGTTTAGGAGGCTGACTTAGTAGGATCACAAATTGGAGGCCAGTTTGAGTGACATAGAGAGTTCCAAACCAGTCTGGACCAAAACAACAAAAACCAAATGAAAAAATTTAAAAGTCATCTGAGTTAGTTCACATGGATTGCCTCGGGCAAAGTGTCACTGTCGATACAAATGATCAAGGCCTTTGCTGAATGACTGAAACAAACTTAGTATTACCATGGCTACTTAAACTGCAGGAAAGGGAACAGTTACGTGAAGCAGCACTCAGAGCCCACTGGGATCCAATTTTGTAAAGAACGGCAGACACACCCTCACTAATGTTTGAAGTTCTTAAAACTAAAGAGTCAGTGCCATGCAGAGCTCTGGGCAGCTTTTAGTCCTTGACTGCAGCCTCAGCATAGAGAGAGCCAGGATCACAACTCTTGTCCCCAAAGGGAGGAGGGACCGACTAGATGTTTGGCATTTGACTAGATGCTAGATGCATTTAATCCCTAGCACCAAAACAAAAGCAAAGAGATTCAGATCTAAGCTAGCATAATGATATGCACCTATGATCCTAGCACTTGGAGGTGAAGGCAAGATGATCAGGAGTTCAAGACCAACCTCAGCTACATAGCAAATGTGAAGGTTTTATGGGTTACATGAGATCCTAGATCAAAAAACAAACAAAACAAAACAAACCAACAATAAAACCCCAGAATCCACTTATCTATCACAAGTGAGAGAGGAGCGAGAACCTCCACTATCTGAGGAACAGACTTATCATTTGTCCGACCATGACCATCTCACATAGTTCGCCTCATCTCTGTCTCCTCACTTGGTCCAGTGTATTCATGTTCTGTATGCGACCTTAACAATGGTTCCCACAGGTAGAAGCATTACTGGACTCAGAATATCCCCATGCTCCTCTCAGCACAGAAGTCATCCATACGAATCCCATATTAAATACTGAGGATTTCAGGGCTCCTCAGTTCAGACCTGCTGAGTCAAGACTGCCAGGGAGAAGAAACCCAGAAATCTATGTCTATATCTATATATATTTGATTCAGGATTTCACTATGTAGCTCAGGCTAGTCTTGAACTTGTGATTTTCTTGCCTAAGTGTAGGAATAGAGGTGTGAGACACAATACCAGCTCAGAGCAGAATTTCCGTATTTTTATCACAGGTTTGGATTATCATCTGGGTGTAGGGAAAACAAAGAGATCTTGCCAGATAATTCAACCTGGCTTTGTGTCTGCCCACCACAGAAAAAGAAAACAGAGGTCTACAGGCTGCAGGAATACAGCCTTGACTACTCTGTTACCAAGCGAGGGCTGCAAGCTGGCTAAGCCAACAGCATAGATGGTATCAACATTTAAAGATTACCTGCAATACTCCAGAATGAGGCTTATGTCCATGTCTGTGTTATTAACAAGAGCTTTGAGGAGGTCTTTCTTGGTGAGGAAATTTTGTCTGAAAGCACACTGAAAAGAAATCTAGAGACAAAGAAGACAAAATGAAAAACACTGAAAAGTATCAGAAATAGGGCAACATTACAACACGCCTTTTTACTTTACTATTATTATTATTATTATAAAGACACATTTTCTACAGTTCCTCTAAATTTTATTTTTAAGTTTATTTACCTATTTATTGTGTGTGTGTGTGTGTGTGTGTGTGTGTGTGCTTGCTGAGCCAGTGTACGGAGGTCAGAGGATAACTCTCTTACAATGCCGGTTCTAGGGATGAAAAACTCAGGTACTTAGGCTTGGTGGTAAGCACCTTTTCCCACTGAGCCATCTGGCTAGCCCTAAATTTGATTTTTACCATGCTGTTCAGCCAACCACCACTGTGAACCCTGGGGAATCTTTGCCACTTCATCCGGGAAGCCTGGCTGTTAGTGTTAGTGAACTGGCTCCGCTGCTGCACAGGAATCAAGTTACAAAACACAGAACATTTCAGCAATATTCGCCTTCCTCATAAATGATCTATTTGCAAATGAAATGTTTTATGTCTCATTTTATACCCCAAATTGGCCTCAAATTGACCACCCTCCTGTGTTAGCTTCCCAAGGACTAGGGTGACAGTATGTATCACTGCTACTCCTTAATATTATTTTTAGCCAAGAAGGGGCAGCAGCATGCATTTGAAATCCCTGTTACTCAGGAGGCAGAACAGGAGGATCTGTTTAAACCAAGTCCAAGCCTTGAGCAGCACAGCAAAATCCTACCTCCAGCCGGGCGGTGGTGGCGCACGCCTTTAACGCCAGGACCCAGGAGGCAGAGGCAGGCGGCTCTCTGTGAGTTCGAGGCCAGCCTGGTCTACAAGAGCTAGTTCCAGGACAGGCTCCAAAGCTACAGAGAAACCCTGTCTCAGAGAAAAAAAAAACCTACTAACTAAACAACAGATGATGTAAGGCTTCAAGGAAGTCTGAGAGTATAAATGTCAGTCGGTATGAGATACACATCTATAAAGGAGAGCTAAGCCGGGGGAATTATCAAGCTTTTTCTATCACTATTAAAGGAAATATCAAAAAAGAAATAACACCAAAGACCCCTGTTTCTTTATAAACCCCAAAGCAACGGTTAACAAGATCTTTGTCTTATAATCTCAGAGTAGATATCTTCAAGAATTGAATAAAAGCACCATGAATACTTACACCAAGTTTACCAAGACGAATACCCCACTGAGCATCAATACTGATTTCACGGAACCGACGTCCTGTTTCAATATCCTGATAGAGATTTGCCAGCTGAAAGCCCACCAAAGATAACGCCTAAAAAGTTAAAACAAGATCAAATAGTATTAGTTCTAATTCATTTTATTTAAAACTCAGAAAGGAGGGGGAAAAATCAAAGCCAGGTCCAGCAGCACCCGTGCAATCCCTGCACTGGGGAGGACTGTTGAGAGGTTAAGAGCACCCTGGGCTGGAGAGTGTCAGGACAGACAAGCTACACATAAGATCCTGTTTAAGAACAGAAAACTCATAACCTTGGGCTGAGGACATGGCCCAGCTTGTGTGCACCCTGGGTTCAATCCTGAGTTCCCATATTCCCTAAACCTTATACACTTTTCTGTGACAACTACATACTGGTTTGTATGGTCAGTACTCCTTTTTAAAAGATTTATTGTGATTAAGGATTTTTATTATTACTTCAAATTATGTGTCTCTCTGTATGTATGTGCACCTCTGTACAGGTGCTCCAGGATCCCACAGGCATCAGATTCCCCTGGGCTGGAGTTACAGGGGCCTGTGAGCTGCTCGATGTGGGGGTATTGGGAACCGAATTCCTGAGTTCTGGAAGAGAGGTTTGCACTCTTGACCCTTGAGCCACCTTTTCAGCCTCTGTTTTCTCAATGTGTGTGTGTGTCTATGTGAGTGTGTGCCACAGGTGTGCAGGTGCCTGCAGAGGCCGGGGAGCGTGTCAGATCATCTGGAGCTAGAGTTAAGACAGCCGTGTGCTGCCTGGCATTGCTGCTGGGAACTGAACTTGGTCCTCTGAAAAGCAGCAACTACTCTAACTGCTGAGTCCTCTCTCCAGCAACACCTCCATACAGAGACTTTTGTTGGCGGCAGGGTCTCAGGTAGCCCAAACTAGCCTCCCATTTACTGTGTGTCTGAGGGACACTGAACTTCTGATCCTCTTACCTTTACTTCCCAAGTGCTGTGACTACAGGCATGCACACACTTTGTTAGGTCAGCACTCCCCAGCTGAGCTACATGACTCATCCTCAGTCATTACTTTTACACAGCATCATAGCTTTTTGCATGAGACCATAAATTTAGTCTACTCTTCCTTCACAATAAAAGGATACTTTTAGGCCAACCTGGGTTAACCTCAAAATTTCCCCAAATACAAAACAAAAACAAAAACCAACCAATCAGAATAACTCCAAGATAAGTTATATGGCCGTTAAACCCATCCTACACAAAAGCCTTGCTCTGGAGTTTAGGGTTTCAGAGAAAAGGCTGAAGTTCTAAGGCTGCAAAAGGTTTGTATGGAGCTGGAGGACAACCCCGGCTACCATTCTTCAAGAACCACCCACTTTTCTTGAAACCGTACTGTCACAAACCTAGAACTTGCTCAGTAGGTGAGCTAGCCAGCAAGCCCAGGACCCGCCCAGTTCTGTCTGCTTGTGCCCCCACTCCTGCCCTATCACTGGAACAACAAGTGCCCATCATCACACTTATTTGTTCTTTTAGTGTGTGTTCTGAGGATCAAACTCAGATCCTTCTACTTGTGCAGCAAGCTTCACCAACAGCCATTTTCTCCACCCACGTATGGACTTATTTATCCGTATTTTATGTATGGGAGTGTTTTGCCTATGTGTGTGTGTGTGTGTGTGTATCTGTGCCCAAGGCACTTAAATTCCCTGAGACTGAAGTTACAGGCAGTTGTTAGCTGCTAGCTGCCACGAGGATGCTGGGAAAACAGTATCCATGTACCCTGGAAGAGCAGCCAGTACTCTGAATTGCTCAGCCATCTCTCCAGTCCCCCTTTTTTCCAGCTCCATATCCTCTGCTGTCCAAGAGTACTGGAATCAAAGGTGTGCATCACCATGCTTGACCACACATATGTTTAAATATTTCATTTTGTTTTTCAAGACAGGATTTCTCTGCATATTCTTGGCTATTCTGGAACATGTTCTGTAGATCAGGCTGGCCTCTCAAGTGCTGGGATTAAAGGCAAATGTCACCACACCCGGTTACAGTTATTTTGTTGTTGTTGTTGTGTTTAGTTTTTTAAGATTAAATTATTTAGTTTTTAAAGAGATATTGCCGGGAGTGGTGGTGCACCTTTAAACCCAGTACTAATTAGAGACCAGCCTGGTCTACAAATCAAGTTCCAGGACAGTCAGGGCTACACAGAGAAACCCCGTCTCAGAAAAAATAAAGAAAGAAAAAGAAAAAAGGAAGGAAGGAGGCCATCTTAACTCTTTAAGCAACGCTTATCACCAGTGTCACCAGTCAAGCATAAATGGGTCGAGACCACATGAGACAGATCACCATTTCTGCTAAACAGTTGAGACTTGCTAGCAAAGTCCTTCACTTTGTCCCCCAAACCGTCAACACTTCAACAGGAGCAGGCTTCCATGCTCAGGGCATACCAGAATTTTGTCGTAGTTCTGCCACGCTTTATCTATGAGCTTCCAGAGGTTCTCAAACACATCCTTTTGAGGTAAGAGAGTGCAGTAAGCCAAGGCCAAGTCCAGATCCACCAGGCGACAGCTAAACACCTGTAGGAGGAAAGCATCATGGGTAAACAGAAGGAAGGCCCCTCGGCTCAACTCCCCCGCTGAGGGCTGAGCCCTCCAGAAAGAGCAGCCTTTCCGGAGGTAACAGAGAAGCAGCTCTAAGACGGTTGCTAAAGGCACCTTTGGCCAGGACTAGAAATAGAAGGAGAGCTGTCTCAGTGAGCTCTGCAGGACACAGAAGTCTTCTTTCTTCCTCCAGCTGACGTCAGTTTCTGAAATCACCCATGAACCCTCCTTTGCCTCCTTAGTTACTGAACCCACATTTTAGCAAGCCAAGAAATCAGAAGAACCAAAACACATCTACCACACCTTCCCATCGGCAAATCCACCTCAACCTCTGGATCTGAACCAATACAGCTGTGAGCTTTGCAACAAAGCTGTGTAGTTCCTGACAGACAGCGTGTACGACAGTGGTCCCATAGGGTGATGCTGCTGCTGCAGCCATCTTAGCTCATGGAGGTTTACTCCATGCAGTCTGTACCGCTTCACCTACATGCATCAGTCACTACCTAACAGAATGTCCCTCCCTTTCACACGTCACTGGAGACCATCTCCAGCGTCCTCATCTACCTAAGGGCTCGCTCTAACTTACAACTATTTCTCTTTTCTCTGCTCACTCAATGTTCTCTGTCTAAAAACAAAACAAAATAAATGCCAGGCTCGGGAGAACTCTAAAGAGAAAGATGCAGTGCTCCACAACACCACCTTAACATATAGGGTCCCAGATTAAGGCTGGGTCAAAGATGATTACTAAAAGCAACACCAGGACTTGGCCTTTAAAAAAAAATTTATATTGATGGACAGTGGTGGTGCACGCCTTTAATCCTAGCACTTGGGAGGCAGAGGCAGAAGGATCTCAGTGAGCTTGAGGCCACCACAAAGTGAGTTTCAGGACAGCCAGAACTGCTACATAGAGAAACCCTGTCTTGGAAAAACAAAACAAAACAAAACAAACCAAGCCCCCCAAAAAACTATATATATATCATTTTATGTATGGGTATTTTGTCTGCATGAATGCATGTACATGGTATGTGTGCAGCATTTGCAGAGGCCAGAAGAAGGCATCAAATTCCCTGGAACTGGAGTTACAGACCCTTATGAACTGTCACATAGGTACTTGGAATCATATCCTGGACCTTTCTGCTCTAAACTGCTGAGCAATCTCTTCAGTCCCAAGACTTGGCCCCTTTTAAAAAATGTCCACATAGGAAATGTTTCAGCCTTGCAGGCATACCTCTGTAGCAAGAACTCATTGCGTCTCTAGTAGCAGGAAAGCAGCCTCAGCATTCAGATAACAAAGCAGCATGGGTGTTCTAGCAAACCTTTATTTATAAAAGTTAACAGCTGGTAGTCTGCAGGCTCATTGAATATATGAACTAATCTAGATCTTGTACCAAAACACATGATGGACAAAAGAGACAAAATTAGAATGTGGGCATTAAATTAGCACAAATCTTTATACCACTGTTAAATTTAGTGATGGAGAAATCTGCACTGTCAGTAAACAAGAGAACATCTTTCCCCAAAGGAGACAAACTCTGGATACTTAAGGGTAAGGAGCCTTATATGCTGGGCATGGTGGTGCAGACCTTTAATACCTGCACTTGGGAGGCAGAGGCAGGTGGAGCTCTGTGAGTCTGAGACCAGCCTGGTCTAAAAAGTGAAGTTCTAGTATAACCAGGGCTATCGAGAGAGACTCTATCTCAAAACAATCCTCCAAAAGAACCTTATGTATGATGAGGGGAAAAAACTATTACAAATAATAGAAAAAAAGAAAGCTTGCCATTAAGTAAGATATCAATAAAGAGTGTGCTGTACCGCCTTGTATTATCATTACACTTTTTCTGAACTTTTAAAGCATCAGCACATTTAGAAGTGTGAGCACTCATGTGCATATGTGTGCATGTGAGGTCAGAGGGAACTCAGAATGCCCTTCCTTAGGTGTCATACTTTTTTTTTCCCCCTCAAATAGGGTCTCTCGTTGGCCTTCAATTCTCTGATTCAGCTAGGCTGGCCAGCCAGAGCCATTGCTATGTGGGGTTAGGGGACACGTGACCTCAGGTAACATGTGGAGGTTAGAAGAGAACTCTGTGGAACTGGTTCTTTCCTTCTACCATTATTTGGGTTCCAAGGCTCAAGCTCAGGTTGTCATGTTTGCACGGCCACAACCTTTACCCACTGTGCTACTCTGACCGAGCTGGGCATGGTAAGGAGCACCAGCGTTGGTCAATACAGCTTGGGCTGTCCCCTGTTTCAGTCTTGTCTGGGAGGCTTACTAGTTAATCTGACAAATAAATTGAACCCAAGTGCCCAATACAAAAACAATAATCCTTCCCCTCCAAAAGGCTCTTAGAATGTCACTTGCATGTGCCTATGATGCCAGCCCATAGAGGCAGGAGAATCAGGAGTTCAAGGTCACCTTTGGCTATACACTGAATTCAAATTTGAGACTAACTTGTGACATACAATACCGTTTCAAAGTGGAATTTTTTTAATTTTTATTTTATCTTATGTGCATTGGTGTTTTGCCTGCGTGTATATCTGTGTGAGGGTATCATAATCTCTAGAACTGGAGTTACAGACAGTCTTGAGCTGCCACATAGGTACCAGGAATTGATCCTCTGAAAGAGCAGCAAGTGCTCTTAACCACGGAGCCATCTCGCCAGCCCTAGGAAATTTTTTTTTTGGTTGTTGTTTTTTTTTGTTTTTCAAGACAGGGTTTCTCTGTGGTTTTGGAGCCTGTCCTGGAACTAGCTCTGTAGACTAGGCTGGTCTCGAACTCACAGAGATCCACCTGCCTCTGCCTCCCGAGTGCTAGGATTAAAAGCGTGCGCCACCATCGCCCGGCTCCTAGGAAATATTTTTTTTTTAAGACTAATAAATTAGAATTCCTGAAAAGATATCCTGGCATAGAAATAGAAACCATAAGTAAAGATTTTTAATATCCTTTAGTCCATTAAAAATAACAAAAAAAGTAGCCGGGGCGGTGGTGGCGCACGCCTTTAATCCCAGCGCTCGGGAGGCAGAGGCAGGCAGATCTCTGTGAGTTCGAGGCCAGCCTGGACTACAAGAGCTAGTTCCAGGACAGGAACCAAAAGCTACAGAGAAACCCTGTCTCGAAAATCCAAAAAAACAAAACAAACAAACAAACAAACAAACAAAACAAAACAAAAAAGGGGCTGGAGAGATGGCTCCGTGGTTAAGAGCACTGATTGCTCTTCCAAAGGATCTGGGTTCAATTCCCAACACCCACATGGCAGCTCAAAACTGTCTGAAGATCCAGTTGCAGGGGATAGGACACCTTCACATCAATGCACATTAAATAAACCATAAAAAATATTAGAAAAAAAAATCATGTGCCAGGCAGTGGTGGTGCATGCCTTTAATCCCAGCACTCTGGAGGCAGAGGCAGGGGGATCTCTGTGAGTTCGAGGCCAGTCTGGTCTACAAGAGCTAGTTCCAGGACAGGCTCCAAAGCTACAGAGAAACCCTGTCTCGAAAAGCCAAAAAA